GATACACCCCAACTGAAAAAGAGATACTGGCAGTTTATGAAGGGGTTCAAGCTGCTTCAGAAGGGATTGGCACCAAAGCACAGATCTCCTGGCACCCTGACTGCCAATACTGGGCTGGATATTCAAAGAGAAAGTCCCTTTCACACATCATGCCAGTGATGCCATGTGGAGCAAGTGGGTCATACTGATCACACAGTGAGCTTGAATAGGAAACCCTAGTCACCTAGGGATCTTGGAATTTATCAGGAACTGGCCTAAAGGTGAAAATTTTCGACTGTAATCATCATCAGAGGAGGAGAAGGTGACATGTGCTCAGGAGGCCCCATCATAATTGTCAGCAACCAGAAAAATGAAAAACTATGCTGACAGTTCCTGCTGTATTGTAGGGCTACATCAAAAATTAAAGGCTGCCGTATGGAGTCCTATGTGGCGAGTTACAGAAACCATTGAGGGACAAGATGGATCAAGTCAGATTGCAGAGCTGAAATCCATCCAGCTGGCTTCAGAGATCGCTGAATGAGAGAAATGGCCAGTGCTCTGCTTCTACACTGACTCATGGATGGTAGCAAATGCTCTGTGGGAGTGGCTGACTAGACCTATAGAAAAAGACAATTGGCAGAACAGCGGTATTAAACCCATCTGGGCTGCTGAATTGTGGCAAGACATTGCTGCCCAGGTAGCAAGGTTGGTTCCCAAAGTCATGTAGGTGCACACGTACCCAGAAGCTGGGCTACTGAAGAACGTTGCAAAAATGGACAAGTGGATAGAGCTGCCAAGATTAAAGAGTCTCAGGTGGATCTGGATTGGCAGCATATGGGTGAATTATTTCTGGCCTGGTGGGTCCATGATGCCTTAAGTCATCAGGGAAGAGATGCAACATACAGATGGGCTCGTGATCAAGGGGTGGACTTAACTATGGAACACTGTCTCCCAGGTTATCCATAACTGAAACATACACTGCAATAAAGCAGACCAAGTGGGTAAAGCCTCTGTGATATGGTGGTTGATGGTCAAAGTATAACTATGGGGAGGCCTGGCAGATTTATTATCACACTCCTGCAAACCCACCAAGGCAAGTGCTACATGCTTACAGTGGTGGCAACAACCACTGGAGGCTGGAGACATAGCCCACACCTCACGCCTCCCCAGAACACCGTCTTGGGCCTTGGAAAGCAAGTCCTGTGGCAACATGGCACCCCTGGAAGGATTGAGTCTAACAACAGGACTCATTTCAAAAATAGCCTCATAGACACCTGGGCCAAAGAGTGGTTATTGAGTGGGTATGTCACATTCCCTATTATGCACCAGCCTTTGGGAAAATTGAATGGTACAACGAATTGTTAAAAACCACATTGAAACAAATAAGTGGTGGAACATTCAAGCATTAGGATCTACATTTAACAGAGGCCACCGGGCCTCTGTTAACACTAGACTCCAATATTTGAGCTGGCCCTGCCCAATCCAAACTTCCACATACAGTACAAGGGGATAAATTGTGGTGCATATGAGGAATGTGCTAGGGAAAACAGTTTGAATTAGTCTACCTCCGGCAAAGGCAAGCCCATCTGTGGGATTATTTTTGCTCTACTTGGTGGGTAATGCAGAGGGACAGGGTAATATGGTGTGTACCTCAAGGGGATTTGATTTTTGTGTGAGAACAGTCTGTAATGTTGAATTGTATGATATTGATTGGTAAATGACACTGCCGCTGTGTGCCATAACTGCCATGGACAATGGGTATGGCCTGCTCCAGCTGCACCAGCTGTGAACTGCTAATGTAGCTTGCAGTCAGCCTATAGCCCACCAGTCCTCCTGTCCTGGAAGACATCTAGGACAGATAGAACCTACAGTTGCAGACTAATTGAACTCAACAGATACCTTTGAGGGAAAGCCATTGACTATAGAAATGATATCCAGACTTGCTTGTGTGTTTATATATATTTATTTATATATGTGTATATGTATATAGTTGGAAGGTGTAGGATTTGGGCATGATGTAGATGTTACAGAATAAGGGGTGGATAATGTCCTGGTTCTGGCCAGGAGAGGGTTAATTTTTACAGTAGCCAGGAGGGGGCATGGCTGGGACCTGGAGGTTATTTATTATATGTCAGGTTATATCATTTTCTGGGGACGGGGGAAGGGCTGGAAGGGCTCTTTTCTGGGTTGGGGTAGCATGGTGGTCTGGTCTGGCTCTGCCGTGAGCATTTGTGTGTGAATTGGTCATCTGTCTCTTGTACACTTTTATTAATATTGTTGCTGTTACGGTTCATTTTCTTATGTCATTGCTATTTCCAGTAGATTGTTCTTATCTCAGCCCATGATCTTTACCTGGTTTTTGCCTCCAATTCTCCTCTCCAGCCCACTGCAGAGGGAGAGCACTAGCAGGGAATGAGCAAGTGGCACATGGTTTGGAGGTTTTTAGTGGGCATTCTAAATCAGAGGATACTGTGCCTAAACCATGAGATTGAGAACCACTACTAGTCATAGACTATGGTTGCAAGGAACTGGTCTGGTTCTGTATTAGGTATGTTCTTATGCTCTTCACCTGCAGACCCTTTTCTGTCCTTTCTGTTAAGTGTCTTGCAGAGATAAAGCCTGACTTAACTTGTATCAGAACAGGTGCCCAACCCTTTTGGTTTCCAAGTATTTAGCGATGTGACGTGTCACAGGTCTTCCTTCACTAAGTAACCATGCTGTAGGTGTGAATGATATTGAGCACTACCGCCTTTTTATATTCAGTGGCTATGAGCAAACACCTTGCCTTGATTAATTTGTTTTACTAATTCACTTTAGGTAGGCATGAGGGAGCTGCCCAAACAGCTTAGAAGTCAAGTGTCTCTCTGAGCAGTCACAAAGGCAGTTTGGTGTTCCTTCCCAAGAGAATTAGACACTGGGGTTTTTAAGAGGCCTAAGGAATAAAGAAAAATCATAGCATTGAGAGATGGTTTTCTGAGAGATGCAGCAGACACAGTAAAGAAATGTTACTTGGAAATATTTCTGTGTTTGGTTTCTGGTTTATCCTGATATTTGTACATCAGACTCCTAACATAAAGCAGAATTGTTCTGCAATGGAAGAATACTATTGCTTGTTGTTCTCTACAAAATTCTAACAGGACTTGTGCCCACTTTATGTATGTTATATTAATAAAAATAAGAAGAATTCAGCTCTTCTTATGCCTACAGGAGTTTTTCTCTGGTTAGTTTCCTTTGTATTTTATCTTCCATTTGACATTAGTCAGTACAGTTATAGTAAGCTGCTGATTTAAGGAACTGATTTTGCAGTATATTTAGAAGAATATTAAAATTTGAATGGTCTGTGGGAAGTATTGCAGCTATGTCATCCTGCACATATCCTTCTCAGCATAATGCAGTGTTACAGAATGACTGAATTAAATTACAGGGCTTTTTGAAACATACCACTTGAAAGACTGGAGAAGATCTTGTGATGCTAGAAAAGAACTTTCAATTCTGAGGGCTGGAAAGCATCTTTCCACTTATGTAATTAAGCACTTATGTAAAATGTCATATTCATAGCATCGTAGAATACCAAGTTGGAAGGGAGCTCAAGGATCATCTGGTCCAAATTTTCTTGGCAAAAGCACAGTCTAGATGAGATGGTCCAGCACCTTGGATCATCATTCAGATGATTCAGATGAATCTTAAAAGTGTCCAGCATTGGGGAATCCACCACTTCCCTGGGGAGATCATTCCAATGGCTAATTGTTCTCATTGTGAAAATTTTCCTCCTGTGTCCAGTCAGAACCTCTCAGGAGTAACTTGCTCCCATTTTTTCATGTGCCTCATCTTTTTCATGTGCATCCTTGTAAAAAGGGCATCTCCATCTTCTTCATAGGCACCCTTTAAATACTGGAACATGGTGATAAGGTCTCCCCTAAGCCTTCTTTTCTCAAGGCTTAATAAACCCAGTTCTCTCAGCCTTTTCTTACATGGTAGGCTTCCCAGTCCTTTCATAATTCTGATGACCTTTCTTTGAACCCTCTCTAGCCTGTATACTTCTTCTTTGCATGGTGGGAAACAAAACTGAACACAGTATTCCTGATATGGCCTGGCAGGCACTGAGTAGAGTGGGATAATGACTTCTTTGTCTCTGCTGGTGATGCCTTTGTTGATGCAGCCCAGTATTCTGGTGGTTCTCTTTGCTGAAGCAACTTTAGTACACTGAATTTGAGTTCTCCACCAGGCCCCTCAGGTCCTTTTCCACAGTGCTGCTCCCAACCTGGGTTGACTCCAGCCTGTGCTGCGGTCCTGGATTATGTTTTCCCAGGTGCAAGACCTTACATTTGTCCTTGCTGAACTTCATAAGGTTCTTGTGAACCCACTCTTCCAGCCTATTCAGCTCTACTTGCAGGGTGGCTCTATCTTCTGAAGTGTTCACTTCCCCACTGGGTTTGACATCATCACCAAATTTCATCAGGGTGCACTTGATCCCATCATCCAGATCACTTATAAAGATATGAATCATCATTGGGCCCAGTATTGATTGCCAGGGTACCCCTGCTTATCCCGTGTTGCCAGATTGAAAAGGAGCTATTTACTATTTACTATTTACAGGCTCCAGCCTGTCAGTCAGTTCTCCATCCACCACATGGACCACTTGTTTATACTGTAATGCATCCGTGTCTTTAGAATAAGGTAGTGGAAAACCCTATCAAAAGCCTTGGAGAAGTCCAGGTAGAGAATGTCCACAGCTTGGCCCACAACAACCAAGCAGGTTACTTTCTTGTAGAAAACTGTTGGTGTTGTCTTTGGAAAAAATCAATAATCTGCATCTGGCCAGCCATGGCCTATGAATTCTGTATCTGAAAGACTCAAATTCTCCACAGTTTGTGTTAAAAATCAACAAACAAACATCCAAATAAAGTCAAAGCTTAATTAAAGAAAGTAAAATGAGAGGTTTTTATGGTTGTGAAGTAAGATATAGAAGTGCAATGTGTCTTGTTCTTTTCTAATTTCTTCTCAATTTTTTTTTTCTCCAGGGTGACAAAGAAGCAGAACTAGGGCTGCCTTTCTCTCCCCTGTGTGATCGCAAATCTACTATGGTTGCTCAGTCTCAAATAGGTATGTCCCTTTTGGTGCATGTGAAGCAGCATCTTAAAAGCAGAACTTTCTCTTCCCTGTAGGGCTAAGATCGTAGTGATCTCTCATCATTTGGAAACATGTTAAAGAGAAGAAATATAGTACAATAGCATTATTTTTCCTAGATCAACCATTCAAAGCTGAGAAACCTTTACATGTATGGCAACAGTTCCATTCAGTAACCAAGTTACTTGTGATGGGTCTGCAGAGAGAACTACAGTGCCTGATCATGACACTTATTCCATGGTTTTCTGAGCTGTGAGGAATGGGTACACATGGCAGCATCATGTGATATGAGTGACATTGGAGTATATGAAAATGTAATGTCAGTCCCTTTGATGACCTGCGCAAAACAATCTGTGTGTTTTTCAGTTTATTCCTCCAACCTTTTCCTCCCAATACTTTAAACTAACCATTCTTTTTCACTGAAGGCATACAAGTAGCAAATCTTTTTGTTTGCCACCCATTCAGAAAAAGAGATCTTTTTACAGACACACCAACTGCACTTTCTCTACCTTTTCTTCAGTTATTGAATGAAAAAGTAGGGGAAGGATGAGGCAACAAGCCCGGCATTTGGTGAGAGAGTAAGAGGGGCTAAGTGAAGTAAAACTGTTGAGGGGGCTTGGAGCAAAGAAAGGACAAGGGAAAAGGTGGATTTGTGGGTGGATTTTTATATCTAGGAAGCAAGTGAAGTAGATAGAGAAACATGTTCTAACCTCGACTGGAGAGTAGGTAGCTTAATAGAATAACAAAAGAAAATAACATGGATGCTAAAATTGAGGGAATTGAGAAAGACAGACAGAGAATGTATTAAAGGAAAGCAAACAAAATATTTGAACCTTGAAATTTCTCTCAAACAACAAGACAAAGAGATCCCAGAACCTAGGAAAGTGCAGATTCATATCTTTGGCTAAGAGCCATTTCTGCTTAAAACTATTTCATTGTTCCTGATAGACAAGCCATTCTCTGAAGGACATCATCCCAGATTTTTCTAGCTTTGGAAGTTTAGACAGTTCAGCTAGGAATCTGAACTTGAAGAGCCCTATACAAGCCTGGCCTGGTTACCAGACTTGTAGTATTTACTCCTCTGCAACAATAACCCACAATACAACTGTGGGTTGTTCTGCCAGCAGCTCAGTAGAGGAAAGCAGCAATAAACTTGAAATGCTGCAGTCTCAGCTAAAACTCATGTTGAAGACTCCTGGGCACATTACGTCTATTGTTGTGCTGTGGGAGAAGATAAACTCTCTATCTCTCTGGTTGCTGTGAAGGAAAGTGCATGTAGAGACTTCTCTTTCACATCCCTTTTGTCAGCTTTCAGATATGTTCCTCACTCCTTACAGGGAAGAAGAGTTGTGCCTCTCACAGGGTCTCTCTACACAGGGTTGTGTATGCTTGGATACTAATTTTTCTGGTTCTCTTCTTTTGTGCTCCTTTGCTCAGAAAGACAACGAGAGCCAAGAAATGTGATCATGCCCCACCAAAATATTAATGTTGAATTAAACCATCAACAATACAATTCCACCTTATAAAAGAGGCACTTGTTAGTAGGCAAAGGCAGCCTTATTTAGTTATATACTATTTGTCATTATGTTTGATTTGTGCAGTTTAGTAATCCATTGATATAAGTAGTCTACTCTTTATAGATATTGCCTTCTAACATTATAAAATGCGCATTTCTCAGTCTGCTGCAATATTGACAATGTATTTCTCTTTTTCCATTCATTTCTTTATCTGCTTAACAGCCTTAACAGATTTTTCCCTGTAATAGTACTTAGAATATTTATTTGCAAAAGTAAATTCTTACTGAATTCCAAATTGTGCTATTATATGGTTAGACTTGACAATCTTAAAGGTCCTTTCCAACCTTAGTGATTCTATGATTCTATGATTCTGTCATCTGCACCAAGCAGCCATCAGTTGTCACAAATAAAGAACCTCTGTCCTTTGTGAAATAAAATTTTGATTTTGGTTCTGTCAAGAACAGAGACTAGAAATCCTGCTCTGGTAGCTCGACTTGTTTGTAGTTACTGGTTTGTTGCTGCAAGGTCATTGTAGATGCAACAACAGTGGACACACGTTTTCATTATCAAAAATTTACACAAATGCAGACTGAAGATTTTGGCAATATGGCCTTTTTACATGAAATTAAGGAATCTAACAGAAAAAAAATTCCTCAAAAGAAAGAATGTGTCCCTCATGTTGCTTCAGTTTATGAAAAAATTGTTCGGAGTGTAGACTGATAAGTAAAGAAACCTGAATATCAATTAATGAACTTTATTTTGAAAACTTATTAATGTTAATGACCAATTTACCATCCTTTTTCTTATTCAGTAGAAGGAGTATGGCAAATATTTTTGTACCATATTGAAGATGGGAGAGATTTGTGTCCAGAAGTCAAGCTGCTTGTCAAAGTGAGGGAGAGAAACAAATTGCAAAGAGAACCAGACCAAGACTTTCATATTTCCCAAAAAGAATACCAGGAGTTTCTCTGGCTTAAACTCTAGGAGGCTAGTTTCACTGAAGATCAGCCTTTGTTGTCATTGTCCTCTTTTGTGGCTGATAAATGTAGCAGCATGCCTTTATTTTTGTCCTTTGATTGGCGAAAAAGAAAGTTACAACTTCAGAAAACATTGGATAAAGGCTGATGAGTGCATGCTGCAGTTTGGTGTGTTGTTGTGGTTTTTGTTGTTGGTGGTTGTTGTTGTTTTATGTTGGCCTTTAGGGAATCTGTCCTCTAACCAGTTGATGTTTGCAGGTGGAATGAATGAACACTAGTCATATGCCTGGAATTCACCCTCAGCATGCATCATTAATTGGTAAAATCATCTTAGTCACTAGGGTACAGAAATTTTTATCATGTTCATTCTATTGAAGAAGAAAAAGAATGATAAAATGGTCATTAGCATTAATAGGTTTAAAGCTCAGGTTCATTATTTGATATTCAGGGTTTTAATTAGCAAATTAAATCAGCATATTTAAATTTTATTAGAATTCCCATTTTAACAAAGCACAGTTGAAAAACTTATTCATGTTGTAGGGAATAGAGGAAAAAATTTCACTTATCAAAGAAAAGTTCTCCTAAGTATTTGAGTTTGTTTACCTGTAGTCCCTTGTGCCACCTCTGCTTATCTTTGATGATGAGATGCAAGACTTCTTGCAGGGAAAACTTGTTTCTTAAACACAACTAGATTGTGTTTGTGTGCAACTGATGAGTATCTCAGGAAACAAATCCCAACACCTTGCTGCTGAAGTTAAAGATTTATTCATGCATCTGGTATCAGAGATTTACATGTCTTAGGGTTGTTAGTGGTGATGGAGCAAATGGCAGTGGTATTGCTGAGCAGAATGACAAAGTACCATGGCTTGGGTTTCTTTGGTCACCAAGAGGTAAATAAGTTTTTGAAGGGGAATAGAGATGTGTAGAGACAGACATACAAATATATGTAAATCAAGTTCTTATTATCCTTAGGATTCCTGTGGCACACTTAACACTGTTCTCAGTCAGTAAAATTTCCAATGCTTAAAAAAATTGTATAAAGTTTGCCAGGATTATCTGAGTTGTCATCTAGCATACAATTTCCTGTTTAGGCTTTATGCTACATACATTTCTGATTAACTACTGGAGAGTTCTTTTTTTCCTGAATTTGAATAGATAAGACTGACTCAGTGTGTTATGGAGGCACAGGATTCAGATTTTTGGATATGACCAAATGTGTATTTTCTCCAGATTTACAGAACATTACTTGAGGGTAACATTTTTAATTTGACCAGGCATGAAAATACACTTAATAATCCATCCTTTTAGAAATTTAGCAAAAATCAGGGAAGGCACATGGAACTAGAAGGATGCTCAACTGCTTTGCACTTGGGATGTGGATCAAAGCATCTGTGAATTCAGGTGCCTGAACCATGTGGTCTCTTATGCTTTTGTTGTTCTGATATCACCTAGAATCACCAGTGCTGTAGAAACATGTAATGATCAAGTCAGAGAAATTACAATATTATTAAGGAATAATTAATACTTGATAATTAACAAATCTCTGAAAACTGGATTTGTAGGGATTTGTAACAGTAATAATGTTAAAAAAAAAATCTGGCAACAGTAATTGTAACCTGGATCCCGGTGTGCCTTATGAGAGATTACAGGCATCATTGTTTTCTTGGCTATCTGCAACACTAAGAAATTTGCTAACTGAAGTGGTAAAGGAATTTAGGGAGATATGTAAGGTACTGTAAGCTCCTCACTCTCACATTTAGTCCTTGCAAATTGGATTTTACTTCATCTCATGAGCTTATGGCCACAGTGCCCTTCAGTCTGCTCTCCCAACATTCAGATCAGAGCCATATTCATCTCTGTCAAGCTGTATGATGAGTTAGAAATTATTTGGCTCTTTATTTTTTCCTTTACTTATCTCAAAAAATGTGGGGAAAGCATCTAAATCAGTTTTATTATCAACAAGAAAAGGCTGGCCAGGCACTGAGGAGAGAGTATTCAGAGTAACCTGAATGCTGATGTGCAGTAAGGGACATTTCTGTGTAACTCCAAACCAACAAAACTTACTGGTATTATTACTGTTATATTTATTTTCTGCCTTTAAAGGATTCTTCTTTGAAACTGGGTTTTATCCAAATTGCTAGAAATTTGACTTCAATATCACATTACTCCTCATATAAAACAAGTCTTCATGAATCTTTTGATGATGTGATTTGCCACAGTTTCTTTCCAGTATTTAAGTAGGTATGTATTATTGCATGCTGTATGCAGGCTCTTGGGCCAGGGATTAATATATAACTCAGTTTCCTCTTTTTAGTATTTGCCTATCTCTCTTTCAAGTATAATTTTTTTACACTGTCATCTACAGTGTGGTTGTCTGTATTCACTGAAGTATAGACTGCATAAATCCTCCTCTTGCCTGCCTCTCTCTCCTTGTGTTTCTGCTCAGGTTTCATTGATTTCATTGTGGAACCCACTTTTACTGTGCTGACCGACATGGCAGAGAAGATTGTGACTCCACTCATCAATGAAGCTTCCCACTCTGACATGTCCGGATTCAGGCGATCCAGGTGAATAACCTTGCACCCTCCTCTTCACTCTGCACATGCTGCTATTGCACTCAACTCCCCTGTTTTCCTCCCCTACAGTATATGTTTTCCACGTGGCTTAAAGACCCATATCCACATTGCCAACACTACAGCTCACCTTGTGAGGTGGCTTCATGCCCAGGGGAGGGCAAAGAGGGAGGGTGGCATTAACCTGAGTCACGGCTCCAAAGGTAGTGAGCACAAATGGTTGTAGCCATGCAATCAGGCGCATTTCAGTGCTCTCTCAGTCACTAACGTCAGAGAGAAGGTAGAGTCATTGGGAGGCCTTCATTTCTTCATATCTAGAAATATAGATGGGATTGAAACAAAAATGATGACTAGAAAGTATAAGCACACTCTTGTGACAGTATTGTTATGCAAATGTGAGAAGAACCACCAGAATCCACCTGGAGTTCAGGTATAGGAAATCTTGGCCCATTCAACCTGTATTATGGAGATACTGACCTTTAAGTAGTGGGTATTCAAATGCTTCATGGCTAGTGCTCCCTAAAGTACGACTACCCTCAGGATTACCTCTCCCAGGTGACTTCTTTACTCTTGGGTGAACAAAGAGCAAGCACTTGTATCTTTCTTTGTCGGTAACCTTGTTGCCTTTATTAAAATGTGCACAATGAAGCATCCATTCTTGAAAGACAACTGTAGGATCTGTAACCTAAACGAGTGCCTGATTTCAGCCTCAGTTGAGGTCACCAAGCCCTAGACAGAGGTGGACCTCCTTAGCCTTAGAGGCTCCCATTAGTGAATTTTAGAAGACTCCTCCTTTGACATATTTTATTTCTAGAATTGTCTGACTCTCCAATAATATTTAGGGAGTGGAGATGTACAACAAGAGTAGTGACATCCCTTTGACTGATTCTATTTCTTAATGACTATGGATACCAAAAAATAGTCAGAGAAAAGCTGCCTTTTATTTCTAACACTGGCTTGGTTGTGCTCTTTGCTTTAACATTGGTTGGCCTAGGGTGGGACAGGAGAGAAGGGACTCAAACTTAGTTTTTCCTGGGTGACTCTGTTATCCGACTTACAGCTGTTATTTCTTCATAGTTGTATTCAAGTGTACAGGATACTGATTTCTTCTGTGTTTTGTGATATTGTGCCCCAGCCTAAATAACATTAGTCCCTCCGAAGTTAAAAGATCAAGTGTCAAGAGCACTGGGTCCGAAGGAAGTGCCTCACTTAACTGCTCCATACTCACTGTGGACTTCAAATGTTTTAAAGCCACCTGGACTGAGGTGGTGCAGCAGAACAGGGAGAAATGGAAAGCACAAGCCACCAAAGGTAACAGCCAAACTTCTTAGTGAAAGAATTTAAATTCTTTTGACCTCTTCTTCTTCAAGCTCTTCTTCAATCAGATTATTCTCCAAGTAAGCACTATTAGTTTGAGAGAATCTGCTTTTTTGAATTCAACAACTCAGACTGAATTCAGAAGAATAGGAATATTTTGACTCATCTGTGCCTTATACTTGCCTTGAGAGTACCTTAGATACTCTTCTTAAGAGTACTTTATACTCTTCTTAAGGGTGTCTTATACACTTCTTAAGAATACCTTATATTTCTTATATAAGTGTACATAATGAAGAGGATGCGGACAAAAGGAGGGAAAAAAATTGTAAGAGAGTTCCCCTAAAGCCACGAATCAGACTCAGGGTGGTGCAAAAATAGCTGGAGCAGTATCTGTAGATATAGGTTATCAATACTTCGTTGTTAAGGTTGAAAGAGGCATGAATAATATTTCAGAGGAGAAGGATAGAATATTCTGAATTCATAACTGGTTTCATATTTCTGGTGATAACTTGGAAAATTAATTGGAAACTATGCTGCAAATGCTTGTTATGTCATCAATCTGGGAAGAACTGTAAATATTTCAGAAGAATATGAGCGTTGTGTTGGTTAAATGTTGACCAGGGTTCAATACTCTAATGCAATTGAAAAAAAATTTCCAACATCCCCCCACCACTGAAAAAAACCCCAAACACGACCCAACCCAAACACACACACTAAAAAAAAAAAAAAAACCCAACAGACTTTGCTGAGACTCCTCTGGCATTCTTCCCATCTTTCCAGCAGTAACAAGGCCCTCAAAGCTCTGCTGTGTCTAGGTTTTGGCCACTGCTGTTCAGGAAACATATAGAGCAGTTGTAGACAATGCAGAGTACAGCAATGCAAATTATGATAACTTCTTTGTAGGTGAGAAGGTGTATAGTTGAAAGCATTTTTTTGAAGACTACTTCAGCTGCAAAATAAGGGAACTATTTTTTATTCAAATACCCTGGGCTGTTAAGAGGAGAAAAAATATCAGGTTATTATAAACATTATTATAATGTCTAATACGTTAGACATTAGCAACTCTCTATTATTAGAGTTCTTTCCTAAATAATGACAGCCAGCTTTTGAGAACAACGTAGTTATAACTGCCTCTTACCTCCAGGGGCTGGATGATTGCCCAGAGTCTCCTTGAGCCCTCAGGTGATTTTGCAACCAAAAAAGGAGGAATGTTTCACCTTTTTTTTTTTGTTTATGAAACTGGGATGCAATTTATTCTGTGATTTAAATGGTTATTACTCAAACCCTATTTTAATGAAGTTGGTTTATTTCATGTAAATGGAAACAGTTTGATTTTAATGTTTCGATGTGTGTTTAGCAGTACAAATATACAATTTTTTTTAATCCCGGAAGAGTTATATAAACAGATGGCTCAGCATACCTTTCTGTGTTCTTGGACTCTAGAGTACTTTCATCAGTATCTTTGCTCAGCTGCTGTCTTGCTCCTGACTTGTACCAATTTTCTGCACACTAGTCCATCTGCCTTGGCTGTCTTAGTCTTATGCAGTAAGGCCTGCCACACAGCAGGGACTGAAATTGCTAACCATTTCCAAACCATTGTCAAGATGCCAATAAAAACTGTTACTATCAGGAGAATACAACATTAACTATTAGTTGACAGCAAATAGCAATTGGGGATCAGAAGGGAAGGAATCTATTAGTGTTACTTTTGTAGCTAATATTATTATTAAATTATTTGTACAATACTTTATTCCTGTTGGTAATGGCATTGTTCCTAGAAGCCTCAGTGAGCAGCTTTTATCCTAAATGTGGTATTTATAGAAAATTTTTCATACATTGTAGGCAAAATAAGTGGGTTTATTACTGATCTTTTTTTGCTTAAAAGATCATCATTAAATAGCTACAAAATAGAGAACTGAATACATAAACACCCTGATGTGCAAAGCACCATTTAGATAAAATATTTTCTAACACTGCTTTTGACAGGAGGCACTCATCCCATGGTATTGTAGCATGCCCAAGTCTCCTGAGATAAATTTATCTCTTGTGGCTCAGGTGCAAAATGCAGCTTTTTTTTTCTGATCCTCAAATGAGAGGAATCCTTCTGTATGCAATGGGACCCTGAGATTAGCTCAGTTGGTTAGAGCATGGTGTTGATAACACCAAGGTCATGAGTTTGATCTCTGTACAGCCCATTCACTGAAGAGCTGGACTTGATGATCCCTGTGGGTCTCTTCCAACTCAGAATATTCTGTGAAATCTGTGAGACTCCAGAAAAAATATCAACATATATAGCCTAGCTATCTATGGAAGCTAACACAGATTTCAGGAATGATTAATGGAGTGAAGGGGACTAGTTGAATTATGGTTTTGTGTGAACCATAATTTATTAATTTAAAAATTAGTTTATGTAGCTACTGACAAAGAAATGCAGATTGGCATTTCTTATAAGGACAGTTCAGGGCGCGGCACTGTCACCGCCGAGGCCCAGGTTCGATTCCCGGTCAGGGACACTCCCGGGCTGATGGAGCTCGTTAGCCCTGTAAGGCAACCCATCTACGTCCTGAGGACCTTGCTGCCACCGCCCAAGCTCGCTTGGCCCCGGCAGATGAACCTTAGGATTAAAGGGTGGGCTCAGTTCCACGCACACTGTGTCTCACCTAAAAAATCCAATGCGCAGGCTGGAAGGTGTAAAGACCTTCCCCGGATCTTCGCTCGCGAAGACTGGCCATTATTATTATAAGGACAGTTTTCCACTTTTGTACCCCATTGGTACATTTTTCTTTAAACTGGTTCTGATTCACTCATATGAAGTATTTGACAATGTAATTTTTGCATACTGGCCAAGATCCTGTTCCTGTGAGGAACAAAACATCTTCCTTATACATGTCACGAATACTTCCCTAGGACTGTGGTAGACTTTACTCAGCATTTCTTAGGATCTGCTTCTCTGTTTGTCAGCTTATATAGTCTCTCAGAAAAAAAGAGATACATCTGTGTATTCTTATCACAATTAAAATCACTGCTTGATGGAGTCATAAGGAGTAGGCCTGAATATTGTCAACCCAATAATAGGTTGGTTAAATCTCTGTGCTAGACTCAGTGTAGATACAGGTGTGATCCGAAGCTGCATAAGCTCACAGGTTCCAAATTGAGTGTGTGCTGAGCTACTCAGCTGCTTTTGCAAATTAAGTCTGTATTGGTCATGCAAAAGGGGAAGAAGATTATGGAGCCTATGCCCAGAGTTTGTGCACACCCAGTCAGGTTTATTAGTTTGAGGGCTGTCTCGAGGGACTGTGGTTGTGTTCTGCTTTTCAGTGGGATGCAGGAAGCCACACAAAGCCCTTGCGGCTGAGTCTGTTGGGGAGTGCTGCACTTGACCTGGGCTAGAAACAGGTTATAGTGGTCTCTATAACCTGGAGCAAAAGTAATATGCAACCTGTCTTACAAGTAAATGTTACGTAAGTACTTAATGTTTGGATGAAAACAAGAATAGTGTCTTTAATGAAGGAAAATGGTTTCTTTGTGATTTTTTTTTTAATCGACTGACATTATTTTGAGATGCTGCTGTTGTTCAACACTCATCTTTTGAATTTATACCTTTGTATATTTGTGACTGACTGTAAAACTTTTGGGGATGGCACAACAAGTATTAGTAGCAGGAAAGGATGGAGCCATAAAGAAAGGATAACTCTAAGTGGAAGGAAAGAGATAAAGAAGATGGCATTGGAAGCAACCTGGAACAAGAGGGAGAAAAAGTAGATATCAAAGAACCAAGACTTTATCTGCTTAGAGTTACCTGGTAGAATGTGAGACTAAATGCTGTTTTACTCCTGTGTGTCAAAAATGAAAATAGCCTTGACACCCCTAGAGCCTTCAGTAGCTAATATCTCTTTTTGCCTTTTAAGAATTTTGTGGAACCACCTTTTCAAAGGTGAACTTTATATGGTAAAAAAAGGACATGCCCATAATACTCACTTAGGCCAGCCTGGGATATTATTTTCAGAATACTTTGTTAAATTTCCTCCTGTGCTCTTTTTCTGTCTTCTAGTCGTTACCTACATTTTTTTGAGTAAAAGCTGTTTGCGTGTGAAATACTGAAGTAGATTTAGATGTGAGTTGTCAAATTGACTGATAGTTGTGATTTCTTTCCTTGGTTTGCTTCTCTCTTTGCTGAGGATGCAGAAGAAAAAGCTAAGAAAGAAGCAGAGGAAAATGCCTATCAGGGAACAGATGAAAAGGAAAGAGATGAAAAGGATGAGAAGCCAGCTGAAGATGCCACAGCAACAAATACAGAGAACAGCAAAGAACCAAATCTTGGGGAAAGCAAAAACACAGATTCCAGTAAAAATTCTGTAAATGAGACTCAGCAAAGGAGCATGAACAAACACAAAGCCTCTCAAGGGAAAAACACACCTAGGACAGATAAGGGAATGGACTCTCATCACACAGTGGGAGAAGAGAAACCTCATGTCCAAAATGGTGAGTTCTCTCCTTTCACTGAAACATAAATCCAGCCCTAAAACCAGTATCTCGCCTTACTGATGGGGGAACGTGATGTTCTGGGCCCACAGTCTCTTCCTGTATGTAGGAATAGTCACTTGCATATGTAAATCAGAAACTGTATGTTAACTTCTGAGTAGTGTTTTTTGTATAGAAGATGGCATTCATCATACCTGCCTGGGCACTTTAAGAGGAAAGGAAAAAATATTTATCTCATGGAAATGAAGCATCCTGTTATGATACACAGTCTTGAACGCTGAAACAAATACTCTTGTTTCAATGAATGTTGTTGCTTTGGTGGAGAAGAGAACAGAGGAGAATCCAAAATTGGCTTATAAACTCATTTTGAAGCCAATTAAAGGCATCTTTGATTTGAGTCTCAGATATAAATATGTTTTCAGACAGAGGATTTTTCTCTTCTATTTTTTTTTTTTTTAGGATTCATTTTATCTATCCTTTTGCTCATTTTTATTTAATAAGGATAGTCACAAGCCTTCAGTTTTGGGGGTGGTGGGGGTGGTGTTGACAGAAATTTTATTCCAGTGTTTTTAACTTGCTGTAGAACTGAGTTTAAAATACAGAATCTCATTCTGCACTCAAAAAAGGTGGAAAAAAATGTTTGAAAACTCCATTAAACATTTAAAAAACTTATTATACCCAGGAGAACACATCAGTTATCTCTACGTTGTTTCATTCCCTGGAGAGGTTCTGCTCCCTGAAGCTGATATCAAAAAATGGCAGTACAGCCACATATGACTTTTCACAAACTTGGCTAGTATCAGGCAGTGCAAAATTAGCAAAAAAGTCACTTAGAAGATTTGTCTTAGAAAAAGACTGAGTAAGCATATAGGCTTTGAAAGTCCCAGGTTTAAGCAGTGAGTTTAGATGGCAGGAGATGCTGAAATTCTGTTTAAAGCATTCCTGATATTATTTTCATGGTTGCTGGCCCTTCCCATTAATTCCTTCATCATTAGGGTTTTTCTAGATTGGAAGGAACTGTGGGAATCAGAGCTGTCATTCTCTTTTATGATTTTCTTCAGTGTTACATGGGTGAATAGGAATGGGCCCCCCAGGAAATCAAAAATGTTAGGGACATATGAAATCCCAGTTGGACTTCATCGGATATTCATTTTGAAATCCTTTGTTTTACGTGCTTCTAACAATATGGGGATTAAGTGTGCTCTAGTGATTTTCATAGTACCATTTTCAGCAATGTTTCTCTGCTGCAGGTATCAAAAGTGCTTTGAAAGGAATTATAGTGATTTCTGAAAACTAGTATCTTCCTCAGGAAAAGAAATTCTGCTCCTTAATTTATGGAATTATGTACCTTTAGGAGGTACAATCACTGCAGAGTCTTTGGAGACTCATGAAATCTTAACATTTGTATCTCTGGATTCATCACAGCTTCCCTTATGTTAATATCTCATCATAATGTATTTAACGCATTATCGCTCTGCTTCTTTAATCCCTTTCAGAAAGATCATTCTGATCATCATTCTGCTCTGCTGCTGGCACTATGGCAGGGTAGATATTATAATACTCAAAAGTCTCCTGTTCATAATATTCAGTGAAAGTTCAGAAAATGTGTGTCAGGTGAGTTTAAAGTCTCTCTGTCACACTGCCTGTGTGATTCCCTGAGAGACTGAACTGTGAAATAATGTGTGTGTAGACGTGCAGCATCTTTTCCTGCACACACCTAAGGTCAAGCAACTTCTTTATGCAATGGTCAAAACCCATTATTATCTCATAATTACCATCATCTGTATGGTGGTGGAGGAAATGCAAGAAGACTTTAGTGCTTTGCTAGGTACATTTTTGTCAAACAGACACCTCAACCCTGTGTGGATCTGCTCATATCTCTCTGTTCAAGTACCCCAAGTTAGTGTCAGTGTGATCAGCTGAGGAGGGTGCTGTTTGTCCTGTATCTTGCTTTTGTTTTTCTCTCATACGCACAGTGAGTTTAGGAAGAAAAACATGGAAAGGTTTGAATAAAAGATGAACAGAACATGTCTTTTTTCTGTCTTGTTAAATATTTTGAGATTTGAAAACCATTCTTCTTTTCTACTATGGTGGATCTTAATTGGAGAGAGAGATTGATCCACTACCATCCAAGAATAGCAAACATGTCAGTGGTTAGGGCACATTGTGGAAGAGGGAGACCATGCTTCTTTTCAATTTTTCTTTTTTTTTGGAGCTGTTCCAAAAATAAAGATCCACTGCCCATGAGTATTTTGAAGGCAAGTCAGATCCTCTTTAATATGTAATACCTTTAATCTTGATCCAAAGACTGGGAAGTACCAAAATAGGAATAGAAATAGAATAAGTATCACTTTAATACAGGGCTGTAGCATGCCTTATGTTTACAAATTTCTGAAGTGAGACTTTTACAGCTTTTTGTGTTAAGGTGTGTGTTTCAAATTCACAGCCATTACTCCATGAGGAAGGAACAAACTGCCTGCTCCCATCTCAGCAGGCTGGTGTTGTTTCACTGGATATCTGAAGGAAGGACACCTTCTTTGCTGCTGTTTGTACACTGCAACTGAAATAGCTTTGTTCTGCTACAGCTCTACCTTTAAGTTATTTTTTATTTGATCTTGCATTCCATTCAGCATTCTTATTCAATGAAGGGGTGGTCTGGGAAGGTCTGATATGCTCTGCTATATGGCTAATAGAGGACAGAAAATAAGAATGACTGGTTAACTTTCCTGGCTTCATAAAATACACCCCAGCTCAGGCTGCCATTTTAATTCTGCATCAACCATTGCTGTACCAAAAGCCTTGATTTTCTGGTTTGCTACAGAGACTCTAAAGCCAATTATCAATGCTAGGATGATTGTTCCCTGATACAGTCATCAAAGGACCAACCCAAATGAATGTGTGGATAAAGGAATCTGGTAAGAAAAAGCAAGACGAAATTACATAGGCCTATTTAGGATATCTAAGGTGGTTCTTTAAAACAGAAACTTATGATGAAGTCTTGCAGGGTCTTAGTCCCTTAAAAGCATAAATGTTTCAGAGTCCTGATTTTGAAATGCAGTTTATACTCAGGTTTTTAGTGGCCTGCATACAATCAGAGGAATTAAGAGTTTGCATGTGCACTTTAAAAGGTTTTAGTAATTAGAATACATTAAACGTATAGTGTAAAGTTTGCTTTTCCGTAGGAGATGGATAAATTTTTTTGGTGCTTTATTCCTTTTGAATTCAGACTTTTTCTCCTAAGGAACATCTCCTTTGGATGGTCCCATTTGACTGAGTTATAGGCATTAATAAACTGCAATCTGCATTAAAATCCTTATAGTGTTTCTTATTGTTTCTTTCTAGGTGAAATAAAGGAAGACAGTAAGTTGGACAAAAGGGATAAGTCCAGTGTTGGAGATAAATCAAAGAAAACAGATGGTAAGGACAACATTTTATTGCATTTTTGTCATCCATTTTTATGTGCAATCTATTGGCTCCTAAATATCTGTAGTTTATTCTAAAACCAAAAAAAAAATGTGTGGTAAACAGAAACAGACTTAAGGTCATTAGATTTGAAAAAAAGCCGTTGGGGCATTCTGAGGGGAAATCATTCCTTTCACATAATGCCTAGCACCATTTAGTTGAGCTGGTAAGCCTTATCCATCAATTTTTGTGCAGTGCCTGAAAGAAAAATCCTGGATTATTAGAGTTGCATAGTAGGAAATGCGGATTTGTGAGATTCTATCCTTCTGACTTTCTTTGGGCTGTATTCTGCTGTCTGTAAGGACAGGCTGCATTTGAGATGAAGAAAACAGAGCTAAGAAAAATACTGCACAAGATGTCCCTGTTTTACATAATCACATGTTATACTACACCAATACAAACACAAATCTTTCTTGACTTAGTTGTCTGAAAGGGAATTTGCCCAGTATTGTCAAACCAGTGGTGTGAGAAGCAAGCAGCATTGAACACATCCTCTGTTGAAAAGGGAAGTGATGAAACATGATTGAGCTGAAGCAATCCCAAGCCATAGGATGACCTCATGGGAATAATTTCAAATGAGTCTGAACCTAGTGTAGAGATTCACAGACATTTTTAGCAGCCTCAGCAAATTCGAAAAATAACTCTAAATTCTGTGGTTTGTTTACTCTTACGCACTTCCTCACCTGTGTACCACAGGGCTCTGAGATAGTATGTGAATCCATGTTGCTTAAGGCAATTGCTGAAGTATTAGGTAGCAAACTAAATGGAAACAAGTTTTCTAGCATTTTCTGTGTATGTCTCAGTGAAATTCGCTGAAACAGAGCTATTCCTAAATGTAAATAATACAGTTGTCAAGAAAGACAACTTCATTGTAAGTACTGCAGTTTAGTATGATACCGTGTTTTCTTTTATTGCTTCTTTTTAAGAAAATATTTAAATTCCTATTGCTCTAGCAAATGTGGTAAATAAGAAGAAAATATTTTACCTCAGTTAAAAATGTAGAAAATTTCATCTAGAAGCATGTATTAATTTCAGACATAAAAATGTACTTTTTCTTAAGAGGCTCCTTAGTAGCAATTGTTTAGAAGAATTCAGTTATTTTGTTAAGAGGTTACATTACTTACATAGTTGAGTTAAATGCCTGTCAGGGAAACAGTCTTGAACAAGTACCATTTACAATTCTTACTGTGGTCATGCAGAAATTAAACACAAATACTCAAATAACATGATACTCTTCAGATGTTCATGAGTATGTGCAGCTCTGTATGTAACTATCAAGACCCCAGCAGAATGACTGTTCTCCCTGCTCCGGTGGGTGATGGCTGAGCAACAGCTGTACTGGAAGGTTGCAGCCCTTGCAGGACCATGTGAATGCAGAAACATTGTGGCTTTTTTATGAGTATTCAGGAGCACCATCCCAGCCAAGAGAGTAGACCTGTGAGTCCCTAACTTTGAGGACAAGGTTACATTTGAAGGCCTTCACTGTCAAGGTCTTAGAAAGATTAGGAGCACCTCTTTAGTTGGGCTGGCGGACCAAAAAGTGAACATTTCATGTGGACTTGAAGATCAAGGGTGTGAATTTGGTTCCTTGCAAGTTGTTCATCTTTGTTTGGTGTTATTTGTACTTGTTATTTGTTATTTATTCTCCTGTAAGAGAAAGTTCTGCTCATCTCTTTAGGGAAAAGACTAATACCATGGGACCAGTTGAATACAGTGAATAAGCAACTGTAATTATGCTAGTCCATTACAAGGACAACTTGTAAGCAGAATGTTTTTCATTCAGACACTGTAGAGGCAGATTATAACTAATTATCTCATTGATAAAAGTCAGGAGAAAAATTGTGAATTATGCACCTAAGAAAATAAAGCACGTAGCACTTATGTTTTGCCAAATACTGCACGACCTGTTCTGTCCATTACTCACTCCAGAGCAAATCACCTTACCAGCTATGTGAAGCATGTGGAAAAAGACACATGATCCATGGATAATACATAGCTGTTTACAGGCTACTGAAATGTTTACCTGAAAATATGTTTTCTCTTGTGCCAGTGCATGGTCTTTCACATACCACATGCTGGAAAAAAAGATGGAGTGAGTGAGTTAAAAAGATTGAGATTATGGCTATAATGTACTCACCACATGTAGTTTGCTGGTGAGTGAAACTCAGCCTAGACTTTTTCAAGGTCAAGGGTACTTGGGTTTTACAACCTCTGTTCTGTTCTTGGGTTTTCCAACCTCTATTCAGTATGTAGCTTGGAGGGTATTTTTATTAAACAGGTGCCTGTGTGTGTAGATTTACCACGAGGGCTTAAGCTTGCTCACCACTACCCATTAGCATCAGTTGAAGCCCTGAACCCAATGAATGTCAGTCTGCTACCCTGTCCTGTGATGCAGGCATACTGCATCCAGAGAAGAAAGTTCAAAATGTATTTTGAATAAATCTTTGCAGGATCTGTATCCAAGTTGCTTTTTTAAATTTAATTTAAATATTCAAAGGAAGTTATTGTAATATCTTCTTATAAGAATACATACATGCCAAAGTGATTCTAATATGTTTGCCCTTTTACTACATGAGGAACCTAGTGACCAGGGACACATTAAAAAACATCTCATATTGTCACAAAGACGTTGAAACTGCACATCTACACTGTAGTCACAGGTGTGAAATGTAGCTCCTGTGTCAATTACCTTGAAGCTACCCAAAAATACTTCCAGTGCCTCCAGGAACAGCAATTAAGCTTGCTGAGACAGCAGCAAACTATGAATCTAGCCAGAGCTTTGTACACCTATCCATACCAAAGCCAGCTATTTTAAACCTAGCTTGTGAATGGCTATGTAAGCTGCAGTCACGTCTTGCATTTCAGACTTACCTGCTTCAAAATCCTGTGCAAGTCTCTTGAAGATAGATTAGTCTCCTCATGCTAAGCTGATCTTCGTATTATTGCCTTTTTTTTACTGTGGGAGATATTGCTTCTTACTCAGTACTGCCCTTCTTTTCTGTTCCAAGAAAAGAAATGTGCGGCTGTCATTTCCCACATAAAGACACAACCCTATCACAGACATCATCAGCACAAGTAGTTCATCAAAAGTTTCCTGTGGAATAGAACACTAATAAACCATTTTGGAAAACCTAATTTTCCCATGTGAAACTGTAAGCAGTCACATGGACATGATTTTTATCTACAATCCAACCTTTCTTTTTTTTGCCAATTTTTTTTTCTCACAAAGCTAACAACAAATGCAAAAATTATTCTTCCCCACTTGAGACTTGATATAAGGAAGAAATTTTTACAGTGATGGTAGGCAAACAGTGGAACATTTTGTTCAGTGAGGTGGTAAATACCACATCCCTTGAAACTTTCAAGACTAGGTTGAACGGGGCTCTGAGCAACCTGCCCTAGTTGAAGATGTCCCTGCTTATTGCAGGGGAGTTGTAGTAGATGACCTTTAAAGGTCCCTTCTAACCCAAACTATTCTGTTTGTGTGATTCTATAATTATCATTTCCACAGGGTATTCCTACCACTTCCTCTTTTTTTTGTTTGTTTGTTTTTCTTTTTCACACTGGGAAGAGACTCTGCGATGTTTATTGAAAGGTTGCAGTGTAACTCTTTGTTCCAGGGACCAAAATGCAGTTTATTCAATCAAATATACTCTCTCAGCTACAAACTGTAGACAAAAGGTTCCCTTTTTGTGTGTTTGTCCTGGCAACTTACTATTTCAGTGGTAACATGCACGTTTAACACAGAAATATACAGTATATTTACATACTCAACAGCTGCTGCATACAGTTAAAGCCTGTGCCAGGGGTATATGTGGTAAGCAATGCTCCCACCTCGTGGTCAAATCAAAATCCTACGTTTTGACAGGTCTTGGTTTCAATACTACATTCTTCTATGCAGTGCAACACAGTAGAATAGAATATAGTCAGTATAAAATGATGTCATATTATACAATATGCAGCCTTTTAAATATGTGGACTATATTACAGGCTTACCAGAAACTGAGGTTTTAGCTTGCTTTATTTGATTTTGTGCTCTTTTGAAAAAATGTGTCTAATTTAGCAAGTGGCACCTGAGGCAAGCTGGAATTTGCATAGAAGGGTGCATTCTGAAGAAGGTTTTATGCAGTTTTAATAATGCAGTTTATGGCAATTTTAATAGAAGATTAACATGATGTGATCTTTGAAGCTCAATTCAAAGTACATTACTAGCATCTAACAGGGCAAATAGTACCCCACCAAGGTATCTTTTATACTTATGCAAATGATTTTGCAACTTGTCAGGGTATTTTGTGTGTGTAAATCTTATGGAAAGTGCTGTTTTTCCTCTCATGTTGAGACTCATGTGCCTGCTTTCCATTGTTCAGGCCATAGGAGCTAGATACCTAGTTTTTAGGTTGCTTTTTCCTTCTATTTCACGTGAAGTCACAAATATATGTGGCAATTTAAAAATTGTGAATACCATTTGTCTTTATTTAAATGAATATTTGGAATATTCAGGTGCATGGTGGAAAAGCACATAATCACTGGGGGCAACTTAACTAGGGTTTTTTGAGTAGTTACATTTATGGGGAACATTTTTTCATGTTACTTCTGGTCCGTTCCATCCAGTTCTGCTCAGAGATGGCATATGGTTGCATTGCTCCTCAGGGATAACATTCATGGTCCTAGAGGCATGTAGGAACATGTAACTTACACAGAACATTTCCGAAATTCCTCCTTGATTTTTCACCATCAGCCCTTTTATTGCATCAATCAGGGAATGGAGATCTGTGACCTTGCTTCTGTTAAAATCCTTAGCCCATTTAGGAAAATTTGCCTGTGCAATGATGTATATAAATTCTCTGCTTCAGCAAGAGAATTTCAGTCCTTCTTGCTCCCCAGCTCTATGAATTTATGTTCAATCCACTCAAATCAGGCCTATTTTTCCGGCACTTAACCCTGAAAAAGAAACA